GATGTTCCAGGCCCCTGATCATCCTGGTAGCCCTGCGCTGGACTCTCTCCAGCAGCTCCACATCCCTCTTGTACTGGGGAGCCCAGAACTGGAKGCAGTACTCCAGATGTGGCCTCACCAGGGCTGAGTAGAGGGGGATGATCACCTCCCTTGACCTGCTGGAGACGCTCTTCTTAATGCATCCCAGGATCCCGTTGGCCTTCTTGGCCACCAGGGCACACTGCTGCCTCATGGTCAACTTGTCGTCCACCATGACTCCCAGGTCCCTCTCTGCGGGRCTGCTCTCCAGCAGGTCCACTCCTAATCTGTACTGTACAGATCTGTACAGATCTCCTGCTTTTTCCTTTTTATTACCAGATACTGCAGGGGCATCCTAGGTTGCAGAAACAGAGCCAGCCTTCTATATCATTATAGGAATTTCAGTCTCCCAACCCATTTTGTTTAGTGATATATTACACAGTCTGATATCATCAGTATATGCACATGCAATGTGTATACATGTATGTAATGTACATATACACATACAATGCAGTAGATGTATAGCACGTACTACTATCAACACCTTTAATCACAGCAGAACCAAATTTATTCTTAAGATGAAAAGGAATGGAACAACTTGCTCCATAGAAGACGTTTATCGAGCAAGATTACTAATGGAACAAAATGTATTTAAATTACAGAAAGACTCTATTGCTTTGATGCTCTGTTGTGAGCAATTGGATTATTTCCCCCATGCACAATGTTCCTTCCTATTCAGTAACACAAGGCTGTTTAACATTGTACTGTGCTAACAGCTGGCCCACTGCCAACACCAGCTTGACACTGAGAAACTAGTAACAACTTCCAGGGTTTTATTTTTCCTCAAAAGGAGTTTCACACCAAATATTTTTCTTATTTGCTGGCACTTGCCTGGATTAAAGGCTATGTTGTACTTCCAAAGAGAAATGGAGAATTAATAAAACAATATGTCACTTACCTTCCCACTTCCAGGTTGCCAGCCAAGCCTACATATTGATTTAGCATTTATCACATCATTACATTTCTGCAGCAGCTGCCAGCTTGTCAYGCACGTCTGAAAACAAAACATTCAAAAATTAGTTTTCTAGCTTTGTGAAAATCATCTGTATTGTAAAAAAAAATCTTTAATGAAAAAGTATGGGAAAAATCTGAAAGGAAAAAACACTATCAGTTTTGGAACTGAAATAATGTATCTCATCCAAATGAGACGGTACATACCTCCAAGAATAAGTAAGAGTCGGCTTAGACAAGAAAATGACTTTAATTACAATACAGCTATTTGAAGCAGAAATAAGATCAAGGAACAAGTGCTTCAAATCAAGTACAAGACAAAGGAGTTCATATATCTTTAGATTAAAAAGAAATTTCCAGCCAATTTGCATTATTAAAATCCAGCCTGACCTTAGCAGGGTGACACACTACAGTGAGTTTAAGCCTCCCCTCTACAAATGAGAAGTTGGAAAGCACCAACCTGGATCCTGAGTCTGATAAACTAGATATGTGCATGTCACTGGCAGGTGAACTGCACGGGTTTAAAGTCTTCAGGGGGTCTTAATYTGATTGCAGGAAAAAAATCTCTTCCTATTTGGGGCAATCTTGCTCACATGATGGAAAGCAACTAGACCACTCAAAAAGACAATGCTTTGTACCATTTTCCACCCTCACCAACTGTCAGTTTCCTCCAGCATTTCACATGAAATTTGGTAAAATTAAACTCAAACAAAATATATCCAGACAGCTGTATATTAAGATAAAAATATTTCCTTTACCYTGAAAGCAGCTAGCTGAAATTCTACAATAAGGAAGTTGGTGTTAATCGCTATCCTCACACAGATGTGTTATTTCCAAATATGCTGAGGACAAGGCAGGCAGTGCTGGCCCATGAAGAAAGATGAACCAAAGATATGAAGGATTCCACAATCAGAGAACAGTCTGCAGCTATCAAAGCAACTGTTCAATCTTAAGTTTTGGAATTTCTCCCAGAATGAAATAAAAGCAATGTGTTCTCATCTCTTCTTTCAGGTGTTTCAGTACATAGCTACTCTTTTATCTGTACAGGAATTTTTGACATAAACATATGCCTGTGTATATACATAATAAAAAAATAAATAAAATAAATTTAAAAAAGCAGCTGCTGATGAGGACCAAAAAAAAGGCATTTATTCCAATCCAGTTGTAGACTGTTCTTGCTCTTGGTGAAATCCCCAATTTCACAGGAAACATTCAGCTCTGAAAGGTGGCCCCTTTTACCTGATCTGCAATTTTCCATACTCTGACAGATCCATCACAGCTTGCGGATGCCTGTGAAAGAGATGATTGCAAACAAAGGGACAATTAATGACACTGGGAAATTAATGCTATAAAAACAAAAGACTCCTATAACCACTGCCAGGAGTATACAAACAGTTTTAAAAAGGAAGTTTCCCGGCATAAGTCAGATTTATGCTTAGAATTTTCTAACACTATCAAGCCTAAATATTTYCAAAGTCAAAGCCTTTGATAGTTTCATTTGATTCCACTCTACTGTAACAAATTTTCATACTTAAGTGGGATTCACAAAAAAACGCTCAACATTATTGTTAAATTATTTCAGTGAATAAACTTTTCCTCTCTCCAATCAGATTGGCACTAGGGATTAGAGTAGAGAGTTACTGAAGATAGAGCATAATTGAGTGTAAGACAGAGACCAAGTTCTCCCAGGAGGCAGCAAATTATCATACATTCCAAGCTGAAATTAAATCATCTTATGTGCTTGGTCGCTATTTTTTCCCAGAAACACAATTTAAGAGAAAAGGAAATAAAAGACAGCAAACAAGAAAGTGCTTTTACCAGGAAATCATCCTTGGGATCAAAAGCAAGGCTTAAAACAGGAGCATCATGTCCTCGGAATGTTTTCTGCTTGCTGCTATCAGTCACCTCCACAACTTTGACCATGAAATCACTGCAGGTCACAACAGCACGGACATCAAAGAATTAATGTCACAACAAAAATCACATTGTTTCAGAGTTCCTGTGAATTTTAGTAGCCACTTGGATGTTAAAACTCCTTTATATGAAACTTATAGAGGTCATGAAAAGATCAAGTAATTTGTGACAGCTGGAAACAGTTCTTATTATCTGCATTCCTTCATTTCATGGCTGTCACCTTCCTSCTCAGTATGTTACAGAAAACCTCACTGAGAGGTTACTTCAGTCCCACGAGTTATTCTTCCCTTACGTGGTAGCCCTGCTCAAGCTGTATAGAAGCACTGGATTTTTGTACAAAGTTTTAGATCAAACTGCTTGATCTTTCTAATCAAAGCCAGATCCTGGGGCAGAGCTGTTCCCTCTGAAACAAGCACTGGCAAAGGCCCAAACTCATGAACCCTGACAGATTTGGAGATTAGGATGGTTATTGCCTCCAGCTGACCAGCCTCCTAGTTTCAGTGGAGCTGGTGTTTCTGTTCCACAGCTGCCAGAGTTAGCAACCCAGTGTATTCATTCAAACTGCTTTCTCATTCAATTCATACTTAACAGAAGCCAGAAACCAATACTCTGTCATCTCTGCTGTGAGGCAGAGGACAAATTCCAGCAGAGAGGCAAGCACATAGTTCAACTCAGATACAGTGCCCAAAGAGTTTACTAAATCCCATCAAGATTCACCTGAGTCTTAAACAAGCAAGAACATTGCCTGCCTGCTATTTCACCATCTCTATTAAATGCCTAGTGTATCTCATATAAAAGCGAACATGCTGCCCTAAGAAATCAGCTAAGCTATGTTTTTATCCCCCTCAGGGCACTCTTGCAAGTGTCATCTGTTATCATTTGGTAGAATAGCAGTGATGCTTATGCCAGAGAAAGACTCAGAGCTCTCACACAAATCAAAAGCCATCTAATTTCTGCATGCATAGATGCATCTGCAGCACCATGATCTGGAACAGTTGGGACATTAGCACACAGTCACAAACCCCTTGATGCTGCAACAAGATCCATATGGGCGAACACTTAGGTACTATAGGAAAGAGAGCTGAAAAGTCTCCTAACAAAAACACATTATTTCACAACACCAGGCATCCATTTTTAATTATTTTGTGGCTCATCTCTCTGAGAATTGCTTCCTAATGGTCCTTTTCATTCTTTTCCTCCTCTCCAGGTAAGGAACGACCCTATTCCACATGCTTTAGGTGTCCCTGCTCGAGCAGGGGAGTTGGACTAGATGATCTCTATAGGTCCCTTCCAACCTCAGCCATTCTGTGTTTCTGTGAAAGCATTTGCAATACTTTAAAATCCTCAAAAATATATGGATTAATGAAATTATTGGGAAAAAAAATAATCAGCAGGCAAGGAATTTGCTCCAGTTTGAAGGCCAGCAAAGCTTTTTCTCATCATGRACAGCTCACCTAGAACCAGCAGCAATTTTGGTACCGTCGCTATTAAAGACAACATGGTTGGCATTCATGGTGAAACGAGTCAGGATGCCATCTGGAGTTCCCTCAGGAAAAGTATGAATCTGAACAGTGTTGTTAGATACTGCTGTGATCAGTCTTCCATTCTAAAAACAAAACCCATCATAAGATTAGTTAGTTACACAAAATACATTTATGTCCAAAGAACTCCTCCAAACACTTTTATATTCGCTATATTTGTGCAGATTCACTTTAATAACACCCTAAGAAATCTAACAATAAAAGTAGCTGGGAGGTATTCTTTAAAATATACTCACCACATCACCCCAMAAAATAAAAACAGACATGCACAAAACTTTTAACACTCTATCTTTTAAAACAAACTGTAAAAGATAGTAGATGATCTTAGTTTCAGCCCTGCAAAACTAAACATATTGGTAGTCTTATTACTATAAGCAACTCCAGTTTCAACAGACATATGAATCCTAATGTTAACCATGTCTATTTACCATATCACGACATTCYCCACTTGCATCTTTACTAAAATGGCAAATACTCAGAGAAGTCACTAATGAATTTTCAAGAGATCGAACTAATTGAGGTTTTTGGCTTAATGGAAACATTCAATCCCTTCACAAAGGCAAGTGAGCCCTCAAAAAAGGAAGAATTTCACATGCTATTYAGATGAATATACTGCATCATCAGGAGAGGGCACCCTTGGACCAAATTTCCCAGTTTAGAGCATATTTCATTATACAAGTTCATATAGGTAACTTAATTGTCTTCTTGCTCCCAAATAATCAGTTCTTCAAGTTATGAAAAGGAGCAGCCTTAATGTTAAGGAGAAAGGTCAGGTTTTACTTCTAATGCCAWAACAAGTAAGGATGCTTCTGTAGCCTGTCAAATTATTACGACTTGCTATTTAACAAAAAATATATTCTCTTGTAAGGCTGTTAGAGAGCGGTCAGAAGCATTTCTGGGCTGAACACTAATTGTGACACTAAATATTAACCAGTTGGCTCAAGTATTAGAAAACAGACACAGACTTTGTGAATCTAATTTTAAATGAATAGAAAGCACCATAAAACCACCTCTTGGCTCATTTATTTCCACATAACCTTCCTCCCCAAGTCAACAATTTAGAGCCTCTGGGATGGGGGAAGCAAAAAAGTAGGAATCGGCTATTGTCAAAGGCTGCAAATAAAAATATTAATCTCCTCACCACTGGAGAGCAGAGCTACACTAAGAAACACTTATTTTTTCTTAATATTTGATCACATCTCACCCTGGGAAACTTTTTGCAACTCACGCTGTGAGAAAACACAGAAGCTTATAAAGTTCACTGCATAATTAGCTTAATCTGCTAAATTTGTTTCTTAAAAAGGAGATCAAAGTCAGAAGCAAGTTTGGTTTAAGGAATAATTCCTCTGCAGTCTTGGATGGATAAAATAAATTRTCAGAAGTACTCTTACGCTATATAGCAATAAAATACTTAATTGAATGAATATGCTTATCCACATTTTGAATATCTTTAATTTCAGATTTTTTWAATTAAATAGTTTAGTATTTTAGAAAATTTGCTTTCATTACCATTTTAATGCTTTCACTCAGACCTAAAGACAGAAAGTGTTCGTGTGCTCCAATTTAAATACCTGTTGCTTTAAGCAGCACTCAAAATCTTTTCATATATTAAGACAAACAGCTACATATCAAAGGAATATCAGACTCTATAACGTACTGTGCACAATATTATTCTGTAAATAAGCCCAAGACAYGTTTACTCACATGACCAGCACTCCAGAGTTTCAAAATAAATCTGGAAAGTATTTGCACAATCACGGTATGTATCTACATCAGCAGAACAGAGTTTACAAGAACTTTGTTAACTATGTTACCTTTAAAGCACATGAATAGGCCTTTTCTCCCAYGTTAATGGATTTTGGATCATCATCATCCAGGTTTTCCCAAATCCTGACATCTCCATCACTGCCACAGGTTACAATGCAGCTGTTCAAAGACACAGAATCTGTTAACACAGAGCTATGGAAAGCACAACCACAGATTTCCAGTCTCCAGATGAATATGTTACTAAAATATTAGTAAATATTAATCTTTTAAAAACTGTAACACAATACATACTATATAGTTTGCTGAATAACTACATTTATCATGCCTACAATAAAAAATATTGTTAAATATGTGGAAAATACTTTAAAAGGTAACATAAAAAGTAGCCTAACACAGTAACTGACACTGATCTAAGGTGACCATTATTTTTTTTTCCCATCTTCTCTCCCCTCCAGGCTCTAGAAGGAAATTTYCAAAGGACTTAATTAACATTGATTACTCCAAGAACAGAGCATTTAATTGCTTTTTAAATCTTTGAAAGTTTACCTTAAAGCTAATTACAAAGCTGAGAGCAAAGCAAGAGGCTTAAAGTATACTTAAGCAAAGTTTAAAAAATGAAGGTATTCCAGATACACAGAATCTTCAAAAATAGCCAACTCCAAATTCATCTGTCCAGTCCACTAAAGGTAACTTTAACAATTTTAATATTACAAACTATAACCTGAGATTACTGAGTAAGTAGTTATTTTTTCCACAGTTTTGAATGTCTCACTTTTCTGCATTTTACTAGTTTAAACCAATGCAAGATTACTAGTTTACAGTTCCCCAAAGAATTACAATTAAGCTCTGAGGCAATACRAAGTCAGAGGTGATGCCGTAACGCTGCTCTTCAGCCTCAGCCCTTTGAAGGTTGTTCATCGACAGCAACATTGATACYGAAACACTCATATCTGACCCTCCTTTTGACCCTGCTGTTAATGCAAAAAAAGAAAAGCCTCCACTTACCTCTTCTGTTCAATTCTTTTCTTAAACTGCATCTTATTATAGCCTACCACCATCATCATCTCTCATAGGAAGATCCTGTTTCGCTCTACTTATGACTATGTTTATTTAAAAATATTTCTGCCCCATGAATGGTGTTTCTCTCAGGAATTTCATGACTGAAAACAGGCACTATTTGGGCACGTACCTCCCGGAGTCGTCAAAGCAGACGTCAGTGTGGCCCTCTGTGTGCCCGTAGCGCATCGGCATCTTCCCCCTCACCAAGTTACCTGGGAAGGAGAAAGATAAATAAAGARTAAATAAACAAGCAAAGGAGAAAGCCTCAGAAAGACTTCACCTGCTTAGCAGAGGAAGACAAAAACAAACAATTACAATACAGGAAAATTTTAAAAATACATAAACAAAGAATTTTTTATTAAAAAAGTCTCAGAAAAAATAAACAATTAAATATACAGGAAATTTTTAAAAATACATAAACAAAGTTTTTTTTTATTAAAAAAAAAAAAAAGCCTCTGAAAGACCATGAAGGGTCGGTGCACATAGGGAACCCACAGGCCCAGGCCCCTTCCCCAGCAGACTGGGGCACCCAAGCGAGGCCACAGCACACCCCCAAACACTGAGGGCTGCCCAAAACCAAGAGAAATAAACCCAAAGCAGGGGGCCAGGAGCACCTGGGCGCCGAATGTGGGCCTTGGCGCCCTAGGCCGAGCCGCCCAGGACAGCAGCAGTAGCTGAGGAGCCCGCCGCACCCGCGCCATTTTGCCCCCCTCCCGCCGCAGCCCCGCGCCATTTTGCCCCCCGTCTCTTCCCGCCGCGGCCGCGCCATGTTGCCCCCCAGAGCCGCCCTGCTGCCCGCACCGGCCCCGCCGCCCGTTTCGAGCCTTCCCGCGCTCGGCGCTGCCGCCTTCTCCTCGCGGGCCCGCCCTGGGGGCCGGGCGTGCGGCGGCGGGGAGGAGGGAAGGCGCGGCGGGGCCGGCCGCGGCCGGCAGAGGCAGGATGGCGGCGGCGCAGCGGCGGCCGCGGCAGCGCTAGGCGAGGGCGGCCCTGGCGCTGCCCTTGCGCTCCCCGCGCCGCCTCTGCCTCCTCCAGCGCCAGGTAAGGGTCGCGGGGAGCCGCGGAGAGGCCGGGCCGGGCGCGAGGGACGCGACCCCCGGTGCCGCCCGCGCAGCCTTTGGTGCCGGTTTAAATCGCGATGCTCCTTCCTAGACCGATTGCATGAATGAATCGTCACTTTTTTTTTTTTCCTTTTCCCTAGTGAAAAAGTGTGCATGCTTTGCTTACATGTATCCTCTCAAATTATAAAGTATATTAAAAATTATAAAGTATATATAAATTATAAAATTATCCCCTCAAATTATACAGTGTGCAAACTATGTAGGTCTTAAATGTATGTGTCCGAACATATAAATGCTGACATTTATATGTGCCTATATACGTATTTTATGTCTTATATAAAAATATATCTTCACACGCATGCATCCATGTAGAGAGGGATATATTTTAGTCTTAGACCCTATAGAGTATGAGAATTGCAGGGAAACTCTGAATCAAGGACGGGTCCTTGGTGAGGCTGGATCCTTGTCACCGTCTGGATCCTTGTCACCATCAAATAATGTTGGTTTTTTTTCTTTGAACRTGCTGAGAAATAGGAGGAAAGCATCATGTGGGGTATTTTGGAGGGGAAAAAGGGTTTGAGCTCGGCATATCTGAAATAAGGAGAGGAAAAAGGGAATTCTGTGCCTTCTTTATGGCGCTCTAATGACCTGTCCCCGTTTATTCCTGCTTCTAAGCAGATCTGTTTCCAGGAGAACCGCTTTTATTTGCGCCCTGGTCTGCAGGGGGTTATCAGTGGCTGGGCTGAGCGGGGTGATGCGTTTGTTGCGAATGCAGTCGGGTGCTGGATGGGAGTCACGCTGCCCGTCCTTCCAGGAATGAGCGAGCCAAGGGATCACAGAGCAGCCACCTTCTTGCCTCCTTCCTTCCTGCCTGCCTTTTTCTTAATGTGCCAGTTCCATTAGTAAATCCCGCGTGCGAGGGACACGTTTTCCAGGGATGCATCCTGATACATCTCGGGAAATCACAAATCCCGGCGAGGGCACTGGGGCTATTCCTGCCTTACCGCCAGCTCCAGGCTGGGGCTGAGACAAGCTGGTATCCTTGCACATTCCTTCTTTTAGCATGCAGGTTTTCTGRAGCAACCCATTCCTGAATTGTTTTGCAATGCGAAAGCTGTAATAAGATCCGTGCTGTGATACGAGCGGATGAGGAGCCCGGAGGTGTTATTCTGAATCCACCTGCTGGAATAACTCCCAGCCTGGCAGGGATTCCTAGGAAAGCTGGCAGGAGCTCGGTGCAGTCCCATAGGACTAAGGTGAGGGAATGCTTCGTTGAGGGAACGCTCCGTCTTTGCCGCCTGCAAGATTGCATTTGTCCAGCTGTAACCTAGAGCTTCCACAGGATATGGTGGTTTCCTTAATTAATAGGTGTAACTTATGGAGAGGGCAGCACGGGGCGGGAGCCCTCATCCGTCCTGCTCTCCTATTAGGTTTCGGGGTGGAGCGCGACATCCTGGTCATGGGCTATAAAACCCTCACGGCTCCAGTGCCCGGGCACCCGCTGCCGCCTGCCAAGCGCGATGTTGGGATCTCCCTTAGCGTTTGAACGGAGTGTCGGTCGAGCTAGAGGTACGAGCAGCCCTTGAACCTGCTCCCTGTCATTCCCGCATCCTGGATGCGGATAACGGAGCCCCCGTGCCAGGGAGGCGGTGGTAGGAAGTACCGGGGGTGGTTGTTGCTGTCTGCAAGCAGGAATTTTGTTGTTCGGTTTGTGATTATTTCCTTAATGTGCTGCAAAGACCTCGGGAATCGAGCTTGGGCTTAGGTTTCTTGGACTCGGTGTCATAAATCAAAAYAAACATAGTCAAACCTGAGAAAAATATGTTGAGATAAAAGGAATCAAGGTTTAGCATTGCCCTTAATAGTTGGGCTTTTTTCCAAAATAAGTCAATAATAGCTCAACTCCAACAGAAGGTCAGGCTTTAAAGTGCAATCTGTGGCCAAAATGTAATTGGGTGAAATTAATGAAAACAGCATGTGATCGGTGGTTTTTTTTTTTTTTATGATTGTTTTGTGTAAGATAAAAGAAAAATAACTAAATACCCTAAAGAAAAGTGAGTGGAGAAATGCAGGCTATTCAGAGAGGAAGCTCTGCAATTCATTACCCATTGCTGTGCTCCCTCCCAGTGCTATCAGTTTCTAGGAAGAATATTAAATTCTGATACAATTCCCAGTTAATTCGGTGGTCTTTGTATGCTCTTTTGTTTAGCCAGAGATACAATCCTTGGAGGTTTCCAAGACTTTTCAGGGCTTGACTAGGCAAAGCCATGGCTCATCTGTGCGACCTCCTGTTCTCCCTTCCACCCAGCACTTCAGTGCTCCTGTGGTTTTCTATTTTTTTTTTTTCATTGTACAGAAGCTGAGGGCTGAATGAAAAGGAGGTACTAGGCTAGAGATTCACATTTGCTGCTATTGGAGTTTCTGGATGTTTTGTCACTGTCTTAGCCCTAGGATGCAGCTGTAAGTGACTTGCAGCTGTTTCTTGCAGCCAGCCTCTGGTTAGGAGGTAATCTAACACACCAGAGCAGCTACAGGTGCTGCCTTTAGCTGAGTGCTGGTGTCAAGGCAGCAGGATTTGAAAGGGAGAACATCTCATGCCGCCCTCTCGCTCGGAAGCCCTGCAGGAGAACCCTTCTCCTCCCTAAACACAACAGCAGCAACGAGGCACCCAGCGCTCTGCTTGTCCCCAGGGACTGTGAGCTGGGTCAGTGGTAGGTAACCTTGAACTGCAGCCGGGTCCCCTGGCCTGAAGCGAACTCGCTTCATTCCTGCACATTCATTTTCTCTTTGTCGTTTGTTTAGGCACGAGCGTTTCGAGTGTCAGAGTTTTGTCAAATCTGCTTCAGAAATGCCCTAAGTGTCCCCACTAACAAGAAGGCTTTTGTAGGCAGAAGACTCCAAGCATAATCTGTATCATTTTCTATCAGAGGCCTGTCCCTTTATTTTTTTGCAAAAGGAGAGTTCCCGGAGCTGGCATGCAGAAGTTGTACAGCAAATGGCTTCTGCATTTACCATTGCCCTGTAGCAGCTATGTTCCCTTTTTCCCTTTCTTACTAGTCCTCCCCTGCTCTTTCAGTTGTCATTAATGGATGCGCAATGTGCAGTATTTTCTTTAAAAGTTTTCAGTTTAAGGAGCAGATGGTTTAGATGGCCTAAAAGTGGTCATATAGCACTGTGTTTTCTGAATGCTTCAGTGTTCTTAGTGTCTTTTTCTTTCCCAAACCCAAAAGATTTCCAGTCCCTGTTTCTTTCTGGGTGCCCAAGTGCAGGGGAGGTGCATTCTCAAACACAGCTTGCCTTGGGTTGCAAACGAGCTTCATAGCAGGATTGGAAACTGAGCCTTTGCTCTCATCCCCTCTTTGCAAAATTGTCCTCAACGCCGGCTCTCACAGGCTTCATTTATTCTGCACCCTTTTCGCAGATTCAGTGCTAAATCTGATTAACAATTACTCCTCTGACCTAGCAGCTTTGGTGCCTGCAAACCCCGGGGAAACGGCCTTCGGTGGCGCTGCCTAATGGTGCGTGTCCCACCGCGTCATGTGCTGCGCTGCAGTTCCAGGGCTCAGACACCACTCGTGGTATGGGGTAGGAGAAAGGTACTCAGCAGAGCACAGCTTTGCCATTAAATACAACAACAAAACCTAGAAAAGACACAAAATATTGAAATTATTTGAGTGGCGAGGCYGAGCTGCTAAAGTAGGAGAGAGCAGACTTACGAATAAAACTCTTTGCAGCACTTTGGGGTTTTGTGCATTTTACAGTTTTTAATTACCAGCCCATGTTCTGCATATTCCTATCCCTTATATGGGCTGGATGTGCAGAGTGAGATAATTGAAGGTTTCAAAAGCAATTACAAACTGTCATATCCTAATTTTTAAGTACTTGACTTTGCAGCCGAAATGATAACTCTCTTTCCAATTAAAACTCCCATATATATAATGTCATTTACCACAGGATGAATCTAGAATAGCTTTTTGTCTTCAGCAGTTACTCCAGATAAGGATACCCAGGGTAAATGAGATTGCCTTTTCTGTCTTTTTTATCATTGTGAAGTAACTTGGTGCTCCACTATAGCTGTTTCTGAACAAAAAAACATGAATGTTACAAGAGCAATCAATGAATCTTGGTCTAAATAAAGTTTTGTCAGGTTTCTCATATATTGTCTTTCTCCAATCTATACTGTATTCTACAATGTTTTCACTCAGAAATGATATGCCAAACCTCAAGAGGGGAGAAAAATGTTATTTAGATAATTTATAATTGGTGAAATACGGGCCCCACTCTTTGGTTCCACTTGAGACCAGCAAGTTATTGTTCATCTAGGTTCCCTAGTGCATTTTTTTCCCCCATATATTTGTAGTATTTTCTCTCTTTTCCCTCATTCTGTCTTTCCACCTCCCTTTCCCTCACTCTTCCCTCCATCCACAGCTTGTGGCTTCGTGAGTTGCAAATAATGAATTTAAGGCCCAAACTGCAGGCGTGCAAGTTGCACGTGGAGTGCACATGGCACCCGCATCGCTGCGAGCCTTAAGTTGGAACCCAGGCAGCTCCGTGCAGCCGTGAGGAAGAACTTGTTTGGTGTGAGGGTGCCCGAGCCCTGGCCCAGGCTGCCCAGGGAGGCTGCGGAGGCTCCTGCTCTGCAGATCTTCCCAAGGCGCCKGGRTGCGCCCGGGTGCCCCGTGCTCTGGGTGTCCCTGCTGGAGCAGGGGCTGCGCTGGGKGATCCCTAGGGATCCCTTCCAACCTCAGGCACTCTGTGGTTCTGTGAAGCCGCTGGGCTCCGCTCCTCCCTTCCCAGAGCACAGAGGGGGCCTCAGCGCCTGGGGACCCAGCTGCCTAATCCCCATGATGACAATGGATTGAATGGAGAGAGGAAGTGGATGCCCTTTTCTTTCCCTGCTTGCTATTTACCGTGTCAATAATTAAAATAAAAGCAGAGAGAGGAACCGTATCTCATTTTGCTGCAGGAACCCCTGATGATGGAAAGTCTTTCTGCCTTCTGCTTTGCCTCGGGACACGGCAGCATACGGAGCATATTGCTCCGTGCCTTGAAAAATTTCTGCTGTGCTTTCAACTGAGTGCTCAGAGAGGATTTTTATCTTTTCTTTTTCTTTCTTTCTAGAAAGTCAGTATTCAAAAGGAAAGGTTTTATCTGCTGGGGAATTCAATGCCCTTCTGGAAACAAAAGCAAAGGAAATAAGCGCCCGTAGGTCTCCGAGCGATACTGATTTTAATAATGTAAACTTTCTTCTCTAATGAGTAATAAGCAGTTCCATCTTTCATGGCCTTTTTAAATTGCTTTTAGGAAGAGATCTGGATTTGTTTTAATCCTTTTCAGTATGTAAAGCCCTAGCTATTTCAATCCCTCAGGGACTCGGTATTTTCTAGCTTCATTTAAAAAAGCAAATGAAAACAGCTTTCAAAAATTGTCAGTGTCTGTGACTGGTAATTTATATATAGATATATACATGCATATATATAAGTGCGTATATATACACCTATATATAGATATATACATATATATGTATATATAACCAGAAAGCGACCCAAAAGTGTCAGTTAAGAATAAGATCTCTGGTATCCCACTTTGTGGATTAGCAACAAACAGGCATATCATCTAGGTACAGTAGCTCTTTGTACTCTGACCTACTTGTTTCTGTTCTGGCTTGTTCCTTCTTGAAAGGTTATTTGAAATAGATGCAAAATTTGCTCAATCAGGTACCGAAGCAGCGTCACCTGCTATGTGAAGTGCCTCGTTTTGCAGTGGTCCCTTGCTGAATGTGACTGCCAGCAGCTGCCCCTCTCTGCTCYGCTGTGTAGACTGAATGCCTGCTTTGAAAACATAAATGCCTGCTTTAAAAACATACCAGGGGATCACTTCTGTAGGGTGCTCATTGTAAGGAAGGGTTCAGAAAGCCTTGGTCTGGGATCAGATCAGTCTTTGTGAATTGTGCCCGTAAAGAATTTGCCTCCCTCTTTATTTTTAATGTGGTTAACAGCAATTAATCATTATCATTATGTATAGCATCATCCTGTGTATGCACCTGCATGGGTCTCATGCTGTGGATGTGCAAAGCTGTTCACTTGCTTGTGCTTTCTTTTTGTTTAGGTCCTTCTGGACAGAGTCTCAAAGAAGCTCCCTGCTACAGAAAGCCCTACAAGAGAAACACACAGCACTTTTTGGAAACCTGTGAAGCCAAACTATTAAAATGGCAGAAAACAAGGACAGTAATATTAAAAATGCAGATGTGAGGCCCAAAAGCAGCCGGAGCAGAAGCGCAGACAGAAAAGATGGTTATGTCTGGAGTGGAAAGAAGCTCTCCTGGTCAAAAAAGAGTGAGCACTGCCCTGATGCCGAGGTAGGAAGCGCTGCAGGAAGATCAGGGGCCGGTTTAAGGAGTCAAGAGAGGAAGTTCAGCTGCTCCTCCGTTGAGCTGGATCTTGATCACTCATGTGGACACAGGTTTTTAGGCCGCTCTCTCAAACAGAAGTTGCAGGACGCTGTGGGCCAGTGCTTTCCCATAAAGAACTGCAGCAGCCGGCATGGCTCTGGGCTCCCGTCGAAGAGGAAGATCCATATCAGTGAGTTAATGCTAGATAAGTGTCCCTTCCCTCCGCGCTCGGAGCTGGCCTTTCGGTGGCACTTAATTAAAAGACATACGGCCCCTATAAGTCAGAAAGCAGAAGAGTGGATAATTGCAGATTTATCCCAGAGCGAGGAGAAGGAGGATCCACTGAGGGACAATGAGGTTGCCGGTGCGGGAATGGACTCTCCGTCCCCGTCCTGCGACCTGACCGACAGCAGCTCCTCCGGGGCTGATTCCAGGGCCGAGCAGGTTCCAAGCAAAGCAGGACGGAGCAGTAAAGAYGAGAGCGATATGGACTCTGACGACGATGTCGTTACCCTGTGCACGAGTTCCAGGAAAAGAAACAAGCCCAAGTGGGAGACCGATGATGAGCTACTGCGGATGGAGACGCCTCCCAAATACCACACGCAGATCGATTACGTCCATTGCCTAGTCCCGGACCTCCTCCAGATCAATAACAACCCCTGCTACTGGGGAGTCATGGATAAATACGCAGCCGAGGCCCTGCTCGAGGGCAAGCCAGAGGGAACGTTCCTACTACGAGATTCTGCCCAAGAAGACTATTTATTTTCTGTGAGCTTCAGACGCTACAGTCGTTCTCTGCACGCGCGGATAGAGCAGTGGAACCACAACTTCAGCTTCGATGCCCACGACCCTTGTGTCTTCCATTCCCCCGACATCACGGGGCTCCTGGAGCACTATAAAGACCCAAGCTCCTGTATGTTCTTCGAACCGCTTTTATCCACCCCCTTGAACAGGACTTTTCCTTTCTCCCTCCAACATATATGCAGGACAGTTATCTGCAACTGCACAACTTATGATGGTATTGATGCACTTCCTATTCCTCCGTCAGTGAAGCTCTATCTGAAGGAATATCATTATAAATCAAAAGTTAGAGTACTCAGAATTGATGTACCAGACCAGCAAAGCTAGAAATATTTTTATGAAAGAATGAAATTGTCTCTAGTATGTCCAGTCTCCCCTCCCTTTTAGTTTTTTTTAATGGCAGTTCGATTTTCTTCTCTTGCAAACTAGCCTCTGCCTGAGGCATCTTTTTCATCCAAATGTACTTTGAGTCTTCCCACCTCTCTTTCTAAGAAATTATATTCATTGTGGGCTTTTGGTACTGTTCCCAGTCTAGGGTTTTATGGAATTTCAGGTAGGCTTTCTGGTTATTTCTATAGATGGGTATTCTTTAGATCTAAAAACCTTAAAAATCAGTTTGGAACTTTATCTGTCTTTTATATTGTAATTTGCATATGTTGCTGACATGTTGGAAATAATGCACTGTAACTAAAGATTGACTCATCTGTATTTTCTGCATTTCTTTTAAAATGAGCGCTCARGCCTCTGTGTGTGTCTAAAAACATCATAAATTCTTCAATCTCTTTCTAATTTTACTTTTCCTAGCAAAAAATCTTGGAAGAGGATAGGATCTTTCTATAAATACATCAGGAGACTAAACGCCAGGGAGGGGAAAAGCAGCTCAAGTCAGGGACCACGTTTAGCACAAGAACAAGCATTATATAAACCGGTCATGTTTTTAGGCTGGATGGAGGGAGGGCTCATTATTCATCAGAGCAACAAAGTTCTGGAACAGCTTTTCATTTTGTGTATCAGCAATAAAAAGTAAACTACTTGTAACTGGCATTTGATCAGTGTGTGGAAGGGATAATGTGGCATAGATGATTATGATGGATGGGGTTTGGATTTCATACCTCGGGATGTGCTTTCTATGTTGGTTACTACTTCATTACATGAAATACTTGGTTTTCACTATAAGGGCTGCTTCTGAAATAGTAAAGGATGGGGTAGGGAGGTAGGAAAGAAGGTATTTCCTTAAAAATCTAGTACCATTTGTATGTATTAAACCATTTGATCTTGCACTGTTGATTCTGAAGTGATGGATGACTTTCTTACTTTGTAAGTATATATTTTTATTTTTTTTAACAAGTTCATTTTAAAGAACAAAAGTCTGCAGATTTGGCTTGCACTCGGTAGCATTTGTTCAAGTTGCCTGCTTTCAGATTCCATGTGCAGGAAAACTGTGCATGGAAAATGCATTACTTCTGTTACATGGATGGTCAGATCTGCTGAATTATTGGTAAAATCCCGCTGAGAATGGACCTAGGATGAGGCATGAGGCTGTAGTGCTTTCCAGAGCAGCCTCGTGGGAACAGCTCTGCAAGATACAGCAGTGTCCTGCGCTTCTGCTGCCTTCCCTTGGATGGCTTCACATATCTCCTCTTCCAGAACTTGTCCCTCAGAAGTATTTTTGATGGGGGAGCTGTAACTGCAATAACCATCTTGTTCTTTCTCCTCTGAACCCGGGATCTTGGTATCCTTTTGAAATTCCCTTGGGATGGAGGCTGCCAGCGTTGCATGGCTTTACACATGCAGTACATCCCATCAGATCCAGCAGTCCCGTGTGTGCGGAAGCAGGGAGTCCAGCACAACACATCCCTGCTGCTGGAGCGAAGGCCGAGCGCTGCAAAAGCAAAGGCAACACTTGAATATTGGAATCCCAGTTTCTAGAGAATCCACGGGGCTTGTGGACACCAAATCCATCCAGCAGGTTGGGTTTTGGGGAGCAAGGGATGTGCTGTCTCACCTCTGTCCACCCTCATGGCACTGTAATTTAAACAGATTTTCAGGGACATCTGCCTTGAGACCAGCCAGTTTTTCCCTCTGTTTTAAATAGGTTAGAAGCAAAGTGTCTAGGGAGAAAAAGCCCATCAATCTGTCACGCTGCACGTGGGTGAATGCACTATGGGACAAACTCTCAGCTGCTATAAATCAGCATAGCTTTATTGATAACGCTTATAGCAGTTCATACCAGCTGAGATCTTCTTTCCCCCACATGTACATGGTAATTGTGTGACTCACATTAGAGACAGGATTCGTTTTTTGAAATGTTTTCCTTCTGGTGCTTCCATTCAACCAACCTGCCTTTTTGCATAAGTTGTATTTTGCCAAGAACAGTTTACTATTAGTAAATSCATTTCTCCTCTAGCTCCTCCTGCGGTTTTGCAAGCATGAAGTTGACGAAGAGCAGGTAGGATCTTTGTGGGTATGATTTTTGTGGATTTTATACTGGGTCTGTCATGGTAGAGTGGGACCCCATGGCTTTTGCTGTCACAATCCAAAAAAWATATATATATAATCTGACTTTGATGATTTTTTGAGATATTTGCAGTCTCCATTCRAACTTTCTTAAACTGATAACTAGTCCAAGACTACAAAAACTAGATGGTAGACAAGAAAAAGTTTTATCTACTTAGGAACTTACAGTGAAAGCCCCAATGACTTCAAACCCAGCAAACATCTTGTCCCTTCAGAACAAAAGACCATTGAAGAACCCTCTTTTGGGTGCTCTTCCCCAACATGCTGCCATTTCAGTGTCATTCTCTGTACAGCCTACGTTGTTTTGACATCTGTGGGTGCAGCACTTACCAAAAAAAGTCCTGAGCACTCCAGTTTTAGGAGACCTACATAAAATAGCAGTTGGGGGAAGAAGGTGTTACCCCTCTAAAAATAGTGCCTTTTGACTGTGCGCCAATTAATGGCATTTGTTCAGAGAAATCATCTATAGAAAAAAGTTGATGAACAGGATTTTGTGAAAGTTTACACCATTTTCGCCTGGTTTATTTGTCCAGTTCATACTCATGTGATTATTCTTTTTTGTTTTTCTTAATTCTCTTGTACCTCTGACACTCCAAACTCTCTAYATGCATTTTGTGTATAATTCCTTCTCATGAAACATAAGAACTCAAATGCTTTATTTGCTTAAGAGCATATTTTAAAATTCATACACAAAATCCATCTTTTTTAATTTTTATTATTTTTGAAATAACTTTGCAGACTAACCAGCTTTACAGTATTCCAGGAATTGAGAGTTTTCCTCTCACTGTTCCGAACTGTCTTTGCAGTGCTGCTCAGGTCAATTAGTGCTGTGGAGCCCCTTGCATCAGCTGTCTGAAGCGTGTCCTGATATTAAGTGCTGAAGCCTTCCAGAAAATCAGCTGTAGAAACAGAATCACAGAGTCACGGGATGTTTGAGGTTGGAAGGGASCCCTAGAGACCCCCATCCAGCGCAGCCCCTGCTCCAGCAGGGACACCCAGAGCACGGGGCACCCGGGCGCATCCAGGCGCCTTGGGAAGATCTSCAGAGCAGGAGCCTTCCCGGGCAGCCTGGGCCAGGGCTCCGGTGCTCTGTCACAGACAGACCTCAAACTTCTCAGCGAAGCTCTCACAAGAGGCAGCCGGAGGTTGTCCCTGGTGGTGCCACTTTACCTGCCTCTGGTTTGATTTTAGGGCAATGACAAATGACAACGTTCTGTTTTGCRCAGGCTGCAAGGCTCGGCTGGAGGAGGGAGCAGCTGAACTTCCCCTATATCGTGCGGCAGGAAGGCGCAGGGCTCGGGATCAGCCTGCGACCCGGCTGTAAGTTCTGGGATTCCTCTGCCCTTGGGAGAAGGGAGGTTGTTCCTCAGCAAGCAGCTGCCAGAGGTGGGCTCAGAAAAATCCACGGAGCCCATTGACCTCCCTCATAAATCGCCTCAGGGTCTATATTGCCGTAGTCCTCCGGGTGCTCTTGTTCTCTCTGTGAGAAAAGGCTGCTCCTCACTTGCACCTGGAGCTTGTCCTGTTTCTACAGGGCACTTTTGAAGCCGTTCAAGGTGTCTTTACATGCACGGTGCTCTCTGGAGTTTGCTCTTACCTGAAGTGACTTTGCACAGCTCTGTGATACGGCGAGTTCCAGGCGTGATGCCATCATTGCAGAGCAGTTCCAAGAGAATCCTTGATGGATTTGGGGCACTTAGTGCGGCCAATAATTGGGAGTTTATATTTCTTCTTGATCTTCCCGTGCTTGGCAGTCATCTTAATGAAATCCAGGGCACATTTTGAGCAGGCTACGTGTATCTTTAGTAACATCTAACTTGCGAAAAAATAAACTAGAGATGATGATTTAAAGGCTTTCCTTTTAAAGCTGCTGCTGTGATTCCGATAGGAAAAAGAAATCCCTCTATGATGCAGTCACACGTGGCCTTACTGTAAAATTGACGTGCTCTTAAATAATTAAAAAGGGAGATACTTTAATTTTGAAAAAGGATGCTGTAGGAAGGAGGTTAGAGGAAGCTTTTAGTCAGCTCTAAGGTTAGATTTATTGATCTAATGATCAATCCCATTCTCTTTCCTGAATTTAAAGCTAATGGGAGACTGTGGTCAGAGATGAGTGGCTTTTAGTTAAGGTTTTTGACTCTTATAAATAATACAACAAATGTCCTAGTAAGTAATAAGAAATAAGATACTCACTCATTCTTTTTAAATAGAACAAATGTGGCAAACAAGACTCAGCTGTAATTTTTGAAGTCATTTATTAGACAAATTGCTCTTCTCTACTTCTTTTACAAGAAAGACATAAACCATTATATTATTTATTCATGAATCATAGCCATTAAGATGATAAATCAAATTATCAGCTTCCTGTCTCTCTTCAGTTTTAATCATTTTTTATAGTTCATGTAATATAAAGACAACTTCCTTCCTATGAAACATGAGACCTTCTGAGACCTTTTTATTGTAAACGTACATTTCCTTCCCATTTTTAAGTATATCCTAGTGATTTTCTCTGTCAATTTTATCTCTAATAAAAATGCAATAAGGAACTTGTACATTACTTCAATATAGCAAAGTTAGCTATAAAGTAAGTGATTTTTACTAACCTCCGAAATACGTAGGACTAGAAAATGCCAGTTAAAAAGGAGTTTTTCCCACCCCTAAATGTGTTCAGAGCAATATCAAATTTAATAGAGAGTAATTTTGACATAAGCTCCCATATTAATGGTAGGGACTTTCTAATATGGTGTATTATGAGCTCTGCAATGGTGTCATTTCATATATCTATATGAATTTATACTATATATAAATATACATATTTATATATAAAGTAATGTAATTGAACTAATCTGGGGTATTTTCTGAGGAAGAGGCTGGATTTTGTCCTTTGTAGCTGCTACACGATTGTGTTTCTAGGTCATGTCATCAATATATAAATATATAATATATATTTATATATTAAATATAATTATATGTGTGTGTGTGTATATATATAAAAAGTTTGCTGTGTACACTCTTCTGGTACATTTTTGCCTCTTCCCATAAGATGGGAGAGGTAACGTTCTTTGATGGAAGGGACCATTTTCCCCACCCTTTCCTTACTTTCCCGCTGCCTGTTTGTCTGGGCGTCTAAAACCCGGCTTTGCGGCTGCAGGACGAGGTGCACGTGGCGTGGCTGGCCACGCTGCCCATTCAGAAATGCGTGTGCAKCGATTTCCACGTGAGGCAGCGGCAGCCGCCGGGCTTTGCGGCTCGATCGCCCGTGTTAAATGCGGCGCTCCGGAAGCAGGGAGGAGGTCAGAGGCACCGCGGCTGCGGGAGGAGCCTTTACAGCACTGGAAATACTCATCCGTGCAGTGTAAAAATCAATACCTGTTTACTCAACTTTATGAATAATAGAGTTTGAGATGTAAATATATCATTTATACGTATAAAATCTATAGTGTGGGGATGAAGCAAGTTGCAATAACTTTCCAACTGCCTATAGCCATTTAATAATCCCCTGGGAACGCGGCTGCGAAACATGATCTGAGCGAAGCGCATCCTCAAGCCACCCTCGTTGCAGCAATCTCTGTGCCCCGATCCAGGAATTCCCTTGGGTGGATATCCACATTATTTTCCTGCTGGGAAGGGTCTCTTGAGTCGGGTCTGTGTTTGAGGCTAATCACGGGGACATCTGGCTCCACGAGCGTAGCTCCTGGTGTTGTCAGCACGTATTGGCGGTATAATTAAACCCTATAGCATGTTGATTAGCTAAAATGTAAGTGCTGGGAATTGCCTTTCTGAGCAAGAATCCCTCTCCCTGGAGGCTGTCGGGGCCGTCTAGCAGAACAGGCAGCAGCATCGCGGCTTCCCACCCTGGCACTGCTGCCGCCTGCGAAGAGGAGCCTTTCASAATCAGCCAACGTCTGCCTGCTTGTCTCCTTCATTAAGGCCTGTGTGATTAGTTTGTGCCAAAACGATGCTGCAGCAAAAACTCCAGGCTCAAATTTCCTGCCATAACACTCCGGCGTGAGGCACTGCTGGAAAGCAGCAAGCAG